GTGTTTAAACTTCCAAATACATTCATTTGCACATATTTCCGCATCGGAATATCAGATATTTCATAATATAGTGAGCACGTTTGTGAATTCTGCAACTACGGGCATGCAACTACTTTTGACTCTCCAAAATTTAGAAAAATCAACCCCTGTGAATTTTAATTTTAACCATCAGAGTCTGTAATACTTATATAAAGGTCTACAAAATTGCATGGAGTCATTAAGATTTTAATCTGGAACATGTTTATTTTTTATGTTTTTCAACTCTTCTTCTTACAAAATGTCCTTACCGCAACGTTACAATAATGTTCGTTATATACATTTAGCTTTTTTAATTTCTATAAAAATGTAATATTCCAATAACTTTCAAATTTTGTGCAGTTTTGTAAATACTGATATTTAAAAAAGAAATATGGAACAAAAAATTAAATAAAGCAGAGCTTCGGTAATGACATCTTGTGTCGGTAAGGACACAATGTTAAAGTGCCATGAAATCAAAAACAGGCTACTGCAGAGAACAACAGTAAAATAAACAGAAAACAGAAGATATTGCATGTGTAAAAGATAGTAGTAGTTTTGCAGTAAAGAACTCAAATATTTTTTTCATGTTTAAAAAATATTATCTCCTAAAGTTGATGTGTTTGTTGCAACAAACTGATTTGAGGCATGCAGTATTTTGTGTTTTGCCCTCTGGTTTCTTTTATTTATCCTCCACTGCCTTCTTTTCTGATTTTTCTGTCTTTTTGTCAGCTGGGAGAAAAAGATGTTTATCTGTCCATTTTCCTTTATCTTTTTGTAACGTTGTTTTTCCTTCTGCAGATACTCTGCATACCTCTCTGGGTCTTTTCTCATTTCCTCTCTGCATTTATTTGAGCTTATTGTTGATGAATTTGGTCTCATCTAGGGTTACAAAATGTCATGTTTAAATACAATTTACAATAGACTAAATATTTGTAATTGAATATAAAGTAAACCTTGAACTTGTCTCTACCGCAACACAAGGTCTTTACCGCAACACCTAAATTTGCTGCAGTAAAGACATGTTGCGGAAATGACATTTTTGCTAATATTGCAGCTAATTGGCAGCTAGCAAGGTCTACTACATTAGTTTTGAGTCTTAGCATCTTAATATACATGAATTAAACCATAATATACATTTATTTTTTAAATGTAGCTCAAAGTACAGAATTACTTAGCTGTATAGTAAGGACACACAATAAATACTGACACAGAAAAGATCATATTTACCTTATATTTTTGGGATCTTGTGAGTGAGGTAGTGAGGCGGCCCAATCTGTCAGCAATGTGCTCACGTGCTAATTTATGTTTCTAATTTCCATAGAAACTGGACTTGTTTGTCTTTGATAAAATGTCATAATAAAAGCCTTTTTTCATCGTTGCGGTAAGGACTCAAAAGTGTGGGACAGGCACATTTAGTTGAAAAAATCATATAAATAATCATTAAATAATACACAAATAATTAAGGTGCTGTAAATTAATGTGTATATTAAACAATTCCATTTTAAATAATGTCAAACTGTAATTCAATTAGCTTATTTTACGTATCTCAACATTGTTACCAGAGTTGTGGGACATGAGCAAAAATGGTGTTTGGACCTATAAATGCTTCATAATTTTATATTAAATCACATTAATCATTAATTATATTTTTTGTCAAGGTGTGTAATGACACTGTAAATATATTTATAAAGCATCATATGACAAATTTTAACATGCATCTAAAATTTCACTGCTGGGACATATAAGTGCCTGTAGTTGCAGAAACACCCAATAATAAAAAAAATGAAAAACTAAATAAAACTCACTCTGGGGTCTCAGATAGAATATTTTAAACTCATGTGTGAACTGGTTAAGCTTTGTTTGTTTGTTTGTTTGTTTTACTTTAGTATACCATTGTAAAGTTATTTAAAAGTCTTAATCTGTGACAAACCATGTTTCTGTTTGTTTCTTGGGTGTACAGGATTGAAGTTGCTCAAGTCAGTGTCAGTAATGGAGGGAGATTCAGTCACTCTAAACTCTGGTCTTACTGAAATAATGGATAATGAACTCATTCAAAGGAGGTTTGGAATTGAAAGCACTTTAATAGCTAAAACAATGTAATGACTGACAACATCACTGTATATGATGATGATAACGATGATGATGGGAGATTCAGAAACAGACTGAAGCTGAACAGTCAAACTGGATCTCTGACCATCACAAACACCACAACTGAGCATGCTGGACTTTATCAACTAGAGATGAATCATATCAGGATGCTTTTCCTTCTCATCATCTTTGGTAGGTTAAATATCCGTTTCACCTGTTTTTAATCACCACAGAAATTAAACTATCAATCCACACCCCATCTTGCTTCTGTTGTTTTATTATATTATTGATTTCAAAAGTATATTTCAAAGGGTTTACTTTAGTAAACCATCATAATGCTATTTAAAAGTCTTAATCTGTGACAAACCCTGTTTCTGTTTGTTCACTGTGTGTCTGGTGTTACAGGTGAAGTGAAGTCAGTGTCAGTGACGGAGGGAGATTCAGTCACTCTAAACTCTGGTCTTACTGAAATAATGGATGATGATGAGATTCAGTGGAGGTTTGGAAATGAAAAGACTTTAATAGCTGAAATCAATAAATGGGCTGACAGCATGACTGTATATGATGATGTTCTTGATGGGAGATTCAGAGACAGACTGAAGCTGAACAAACAAACTGGATCTCTGACCATCACAAACATCACAACTCAACATGCTGGAGTTTATCAACGACAGACCAACCGCGTGATAAAGAGTTTCATTCTCACTGTCTACAGTGAGTTAAATATTGGTCCTAGCGTTTATATTTCAATATAACATTTCAAAAATAAAACATCTATATCAGAAGATGACAAAGATCTTTAATCTATGACAAATAAAACACAGATATTTAACATTTTAGTTTGATGTTTTTATTCCTCAGACTCTGTTGTGATTCTGTTGAAGCTGTGATCCGATTGGTCCTCTCTGCTCTGGTGGGCGTGGCTGCTGCGGCTGCTGTCATTGTTCTGGTTTATGACATCAGATCCAGAAGAGCAGAACAGTATTTCTAATTACTCTTTTTTTTAATGTCTTTCTACACTCAAAAAACGGCTGGGTTAAAAAAACAACCCAATTTGGGTTATTTTGGCAACCCACTGCTGGGTCAAAAAGGGACGAACCCAGCGCTGCGTTGTTTTGACCCAACAAGTTGGGTTATATGTTTGACCCAGCATGCTGGGTTGCTTTTTTATGGCTTAAAATTACTACATTGCTAGGCTAAAATGAACCCAGGCATTAAACCTACAAATCTTGTTTATTTTAAAATCACTTTTACACACACAGAATGACTATCAAAAGGTAAATATTTATTAACAACAACAAGAGAAAACAGTCAAAGGAGCATGCATGCAAGAACAAATGCAGAAAAGTATAGCATTAACAGCTATAGAGTTTATAAATGAAGCATTGAACATTTGTTGAATATAACTTTTAAGATCAAATTTGACTTTTTTGGTAAATTTTATATATTGTATAAAAATATACAAAAACACTATTTTACAATAATTGTACAATTACATTTTTTTTCAACTGCTTACACACATTTTCTAAACTTTACCTACTTTTTTTAAAACTTAACACACAAATCTAAGAATTGCACACACAAAATGCCAAATGCCTCGCATCTCTTGCAAAATGACACACTGCATTCAAAAGATCACAAACACATCTCAAAAGCAAACATCTGTCTTACGTTGCAAACACTTTTGCCATAATAATATATTTTTGGATATGTCATATACACACAGTAATTCAAAACCTAAAGCTCTTCTTTCATGAGCTCCTATGGACATTTCTGTACAAGATCGAAAGTAATTGTCAGAGAGATTTTGAAAAATTCACAGTAAACACGAAAGCAAGATTGAAACCAAACTATTTATTTTTTTACTGTAAGCATTTGTGGTTGTGAATACAGTACTAGAGAAAAGAAAAGAAATACAACAATGTGTAGTTGGACAGAATCCAAACAATTAAAAAAAAAAGAGGATTATTCCAAAGGAATTGTGTGTGTGTGTGTGTGTGATGGTTGGGTGCATCTAGGCTCAATCCCTCCTCCGGGCTGGGTCCGGCCACAATACTTCATCCACGTCACATGCTATGTTCTCTCTTGCCAGACACCGTGGAAAGAACCTCCTTGTATGGCGTATCCAACCTTGGATGGAGGCGGCATCAATGTCTCCACATGCCGCCTCCATTGCCTGGAGAAGTGTCATGATGACATAGGGATGATGATCATACACTTTCCAGCGCCATGTGGAGAAAAAATCCTCTATAGGGTTTAGAAATGGTGAATATGGAGGCAGTAGACAACAGAAAAATGGGGATGAGTAACAAACCAGTTTTGGACCTGATGGGCGCGATGAAAGCTGACATTATCCCAGATGATGACAAATCTTGCCTGGTCTTCATTCTGCAGACCTCGAACAAGCATATCATGAACAGCATCCAGAAAACGTATGATGTGATCAGTGTTATAGGGGCCAAGTCTGGCATGATGGTGCAGGACACCATTCTGTGTAATTGCAGCACACATTGTAATGTTTCCGCCACGTTGTCCAGGGACATTGACAATGGCCCTTTGTCCAATGACACTTCTCCCCCTTCTTCTGGTTTTGCTGAGATTGAAGCCCACCTCATCTACATAAATGTATTCATGGATGATAGCATGGGCATCCATCTCCAAAATTCTCTGTAAAAGACAAAAATCGTCCCGTCATGGCCGCCGTTCCAGAGCCTGCTCACGTCAAGCCTGCCAAGCCAGAGCCTGAGCCACGTCAAGTCACAGATATTTTAAACAGTAATCGAGTGTAAAAGGCAGATGCAGTTATTGTGATCAAAATATAATTTTTGAGAAACAGAATCACAGAGAGTTTGATCATTGTTCTGAACTGAAACGTGTACATCACCGCCGTCATCTCAGACTCCTGTCAGACAAACACAAACACAAAGAGTCAGAGGAGAAAAACAAGCCTGATAAATGGCAATTAGTGAAAGAAATTTGCTGCAAATTCATCATGAGAATTGATAATGCATTGGACCTGAACATCATTCAGAAACAATCAGAAAATTAGTATTATGGGCTATAAATCAGTGAGTATTCTGGGATATAAATCTGTTGTTGTAGCAGCTAAAAAGAGACAAAAGACAGAAATCAGCTCAATAAACAAATTTAACAAGATTTCACTGTCAGAGAGGAGAAAGTCATACAAAAATGACCAAATAAATGACTAATTAAAAACAATAATGTGAACAGGAAATGATCTTAAGAGTAAGTGGTTTGTTTGTTTTAGAAACTTATTAAATAATTATTAGTGTAAAATACTTTAGAAAACTACTACTATTATTATTGTGTAATTGTGACTCACCGGAGACAGTAACATGAAATCTTTATCTGATCTCTCTGTTTCTTCCAGTGGTCACTTTATAAAGTCCAGAGTCTGTGGTGCTGGTGTTTGTGATGGTCAGAGATCCAGTCTGAATATCCAGCTTCAGTCTGTCGCTGAATCTCCCAGTAAGAACATCATATGTAAAGATACTACTGGACATTCTAATGAGTTTAGCTATGAGCAAGTTGTTCGGTCCAAACGTCCACATTATCAGATAATCTGCCTGTATTTCAGTAAGATCAGATTCTAGAGTGACTGAGTCTCCCTCCATCACTGACACTGACTTCACTGCATCTGAATCACCAAACACACCTGTGGAACAAACAGAAGATGAAGATTATTAAATCACTAAACAGTCTGTAATTCAAAATGAATAATATCTTGAATGGAACTCTGAATGAAGCCTCGTTTACTAAAATCGCATGACTCCAAATCACTGGTTCCAAACAATTGATTCGCAAAAGGTTTCAGTGATTGTTTCAAAAGCGCCTGTTACTACTGGAAGGATTTTGCCCTTAAAATGGCTAACTCCTTTATCAGTGCCCTGAAGCTTATTGAGATGCACCCTGTATTATATCTGTGTCTCGTCATCCTGGGCAAACAAGCACGCTCAGACAAACAATGCTGTCTTTCGTGTGCTTCATCGTACACAACAAGACCCCATCTAGAGGCATCTTCATGCCTGTTTAAAAACAGAATAACTAAACCACAGCTTTATAGTTCGGCACATACAGTATGAATTAAAGGGGTCATATGATGCGATTTCAATTTTTCCTTTCTCTTTGGAGTATTACAAGCTCTTGGTGCATAAAGAAGATCTGTAAAGTTGCAAAGACTAAAGTCTCAAATCCAAAGAGATATTCTTTATAAGAGTTAAGAGTCAGCCACGCCTACCTAAAACGGCTCGTTCTAACACGCCCCCACGTGTCTAAGTCACGATGTGGGAAGATTTGCATAACACCGCCTAAATGTTCACACAAAGAAAGAAGGCGTAACTTTTATTCTCGCTGTAGTATTGTTGTTGTCGC